CTATCTTATCATGCAGATTCGTCAAGATGCCCTGAATATACTCCAGTGGCTTATTTGAAATCCACTTGAAGGATACCGTCATGTCCTGATGGACCCACAACCTAACAGGCATATCAAGGCACTCGTACTCCTCCCCCCGCACGGCAGCACCAAGCAGTACAGACAGAAATCTCCAATTCATCCCAGATGCCCGTCCCCTCCGATAAGGCATGCATTCCTTTTCGGCCTCTAGTCGGCCGCCCTGCCCTACCTTAGCTTATTTGCGGTCTGCAGCGGTCCGGTTTGTGGCGTCAAAGACCGTCGTGGATCAAAGATCGTGGCGGATCAAGTTATTGAGATGTTGGCATTAGTGCGGCGTCCACTTGGGGGGACCAAAGTTAGGCCGAGCGGAGACATTCGAAGTCTATTGGTACCCGTCTTCGTTCCGTCGCTACGATGTAATCGCAGTTTGCTCCTTTCGCAGAACCTTCCTCGTCGACGACACGGAGTTCGGCCTTCTTACGACTTTAGGCGCCCTGCCTTCGGCCGTTGCAGTTGAGCGGTCCCAGTCGGGTCGACGCGGTGGTTCCGACCCACACGGCGGTACTGGTCACCGCAGTGGTGCCAGTTCGGGAAGTGGTTGTCTTAAGGATGACTATGCTGAAGCTGTTAACGATGGCCTTGTCGTTTTGGACTGTGTGTTCGAAGTGCATCCACCGCCCTTCTTTTCATCGGCTACAGCGCGGACGTTGTCGGCCACGCGGCGGTCTCTGCAATGCGGTGATCAACCAGCTGGTACAACCCTCCGCGTTGGCCGCAATTAACCGGAAGGAAATCGCCGAAGGAACAAAGAGTCATGTCACACCACTGCAGTCCAGACAATCCATCGCTAACGTATATTCTTGGTATCATTTACGAGGCTGTCCGCTTTGCAGCACTCCTGAGATAGAGGGGGGTGGTTAAGGTTACCGACAGACATGCTACGACCCAGCTTCGACTTAAAGTTAAGCTAAGTGCTAAAACTTGAAATCTATTCGTATGCATCTTCTTCCATGGCAACAATGGACTCACGGTTTCCGGCCTGGGCCGCATCCGCACCACCTTCCTCCTCGATGACGTCGAGTTCCGGTGGGGCACTGTCTCGCAGTTTGTACCAAGCCGCGCCGGCGAGTAAGGCGGCCGCCCCGGCTGCCGCGCTGCCGACGGCGATTGCCTTGTTGTGGTCCGGCGCTGGTCCCGGTACAGCGGTGGTGGTTATGATGGGTACAATGGAAGTGGTAGTGGCACTGGTTCCGGTGGTGACGCTGGTTCCGGAGGTGGCGCTGGTTCCGGTGGTGCCGCTGGTTCCGGTGGTGGTGGTTCCGGAGGTGGGTGTCTTGGTGGTCGTGGTCTTGATGATGCAGTTGACGGTGTTGACACTCTCGAGAATGGTCTTGGCCACGCCGCCGGCGTCCATGGAGATTGGGAAGACCCCGTACTGGCCTTGGTCTGCCTTGAGCTTTAGCTGGTTGGACCACAAATCTGTCCACCAGTCCACGAAGTCCTCCAGAACGAGAGTGATTGGGACCACGTTATACGTTTCCACAGAGTGAGACAGCTGCTCAATAGTCGGGTACCAGACATCGTCATACGTGCAGGTGACTTTGTCCTCGACCGTGTCGTTCAGCCTTCCCGAGCTAAGTGCATCGAAAAACGAGTTGCACTTCTTCTCAGCGGGTCCACAACCGGGCATGCCGTGATACTTGCCCCAGTCGTCCGTAATGATTACGAAGATATTCACCGCTTCTGTCGGCGAGGACCCGAACTGGTGCTTCGCAACCATAGGCAGTGCAGACAGCGAGTCTTCCGCATTGTCGTTGGAGCTGTGAGAGGACGCCGGATGCGCGGCCATGATCACCGAGGCTGCCTGTACCTTGGCTTCAAACTCCTGCCCATCCAGCTCGCTCACTGGCACATAGCATATCTCTTCCGACCGATCCCAGAACAGGGAAATGCCAAAGTCGAAGTCTTCTATCTTATCATGCAGATTCGTCAAGATGCCCTGAATATACTCCAGTGGCTTATTTGAAATCCACTTGAAGGATACCGTCATGTCCTGATGGACCCACAACCTAACAGGCATATCCAAGGCAC